CCCTCCCTCCCTCTCACTTGCTAGCGAGCGCCTGTCCCACCGTCGACTTGTTGCCCTCGTTGAGCCGCGTGGCGGCAAGCTTGTTGACAGCCGCCTCCTTGCCATGGCGGTGCAGATGCTCCATCAGGTCCCACGGGGTGGCGAACCTGACGGAATCAATCAATCAAGGAAGCAAGACGACGAGCAGCACGTCAGGTGGGCGAACGTGCGGTCTTCCTCTTCCTTAACGTACGTCTTCTGCATGGACTGGGCCCTGGGTACCGACACTTGGTTGAACGTCGTCAGCTGGTTGATCCACCTAGTGGCATGCCCACGCAGACACACAGACAGACAGACAGACAGACAGGACATGGACACCCATCCATCCATCGATCCATCCATGCGCCAGGTGGGCGCTGGAGCCGTTGTTGTTTGTGTGTTTGTGTATGTCCTTACGCCTCTTTGGGTCCCTGGCTGGTCTTCTTCTCAGACTTGCTCCAGAAGAAACTCCTACGCTCACTGAAGACCGACAACCAACCACACACACGAGGCAGGTGCTCATTCCGGCTGCCTGGCATCAGTGCATGTGGATCTGTGTGTTGGCCGATCCGATCCCCCTCACTCCTCCCGCGACTTGACTAGGGCCTTAGCGCACTTCACCACATACGTCACCTGCACACAACACACCACCACACCACCCAACACAAGCCAACACGCATCTGCCTGGCCCTTTCCATCCACGGCGGCCTGTCTGTCTGTCCTTCGGGACCCCTCACTCACTCACCGCATCATTGGTATCCCTGGCATGCACCGTGTCGACGCCGGCGTCCACCAGCAGGTCGCACACGAAGTCGTCCAGGTTGATCCCCCTCAGCTCCCTGGTCATGCACAGCACCCGCACCCCGTCCGTCGTGAGGGCCTCGTGCAGCGCCATGACCTCGCTCCTCGCCCGCTCCTCCATGGCTGTGTGGGGCATCCTCTGGTCGTCCGGGTCGAGGCAGTAGATGGCTACCACCGGCGAGAGCGGGCCGTCGGGAGGCGACGGGGCCGCATCGTCGTCCATCGTGTCCTCGCCGAGGGGAGACACCGACGCCTGGGATGCCGCAGGGGTGTCCTGCAGTGAGTGAATGACACGGGCAACGGTACGTGTGCATGAGCCGACGTGTGCGTGTGCCTGTAGTGTAGTGTGGGCAGATCTGACTGACCTGTGTGCCCATCATCACGTCTTGGTCGTCGTCGCACGGCTCGGTGAAGACCTGCCGATGCGTGCGGTAGCGAAACCCGACCTCCAACAGCACGGCGGGCGACTCCATGAACACCCTGCCGGCCTTGTGCCCGTCGGCAGCTACATAGGCCGACAGCAGGATCTCCTTCTTGCTCTTGGACGGCTTGGCGGCCTCGTCCTTCTCCTTCTTGATGGAGTCGATGTGCGTCTTAAGGGCCACGCCGACGGGCAGACCCGCCAGCACGGGGGAGAGTGCGATGGATACGGCCGTCATGGGGGGCTTCCGGGCAAGCAGGACAAAGAGATTGTTCAGGTTGAGATGAGATGGAATGCCGTCGTTGGATCAGGCAATGGCACGCCGCCGCCGGCTGGTCGGTCGGTTATGTCGGTGGGTTATGGGTTTGACGAGACGCCTGTCCCTAAGGCGGGCGCCTGCCTTTCCGGAGGGAGGTGAGGGCTTCTGCGGTAGTTTTGGTTGTGGGTGTAGCTATACATAACGTGCATAGCACAGTAGAGTGGACCAATCGATGAATCGAAAAACGGCGCACTGACATGAACACGCGTGTGGTCCGTCCGAGATGTCGTTTCTCGCCAACCTGCTATCCTCTCTCTCGCGTGCCGGGGCGTGCCGCAAGGTGGACAGGCAGTGACGCCACTGACACTGTCTGTCTGCCTTGCCGCTCGCCCTGATACGTGAGAGAGAAGTGACAGCAGGTGCATTGCAAGTAATCGACACAGTAAGAAACGCCAGTTCGCACCGCGCACGAGGAGACAGGCAGCTGATGGCTGGCATGGATACAGCCCGCCCCGCCCCACCTCGATCCCCAAGCAATGCAATCAACCAGGCACGCAATCCAGTCCATTTGCAAAAGAGCGATGCACGCACACGCACAAGCCTCACGCGATCGATGCACCGACATACCATACACACCAACACAAACCCAGACAGACGGACGGACAGACAGACAGGCAGGCACCGAGCAAGCCGATCCATCCATCCATCCACACCGTCAGCCTTGAAAGCTCCCCCCCCCCCC